TAAAGAATAACAAAAAGGTAACCTACAATGTTATAAATTTCCCCGAAGCGTATTCCCAAGGATACTAAGATTGATGGGGGTAAGATTTATACGAGGGAAAACGTCGAGAAGTGTGTAAAAACTGAACATGAGAAAATGGTCTAATGTAAATAGTAAAGCGTCGGCGCGAACTCTCGAGAGGGAAATTCAATGTCAAGTTGAACTTAGATTTTTACATTATTAGTTCAATTTTTATGCATAAAAGTATTTAAATAAAATGAAGGAAATTGATGGATTTAACAAAATTTACACGGGTTAATAATTTTGTCTCGAGAACAAAAAAATTCTAAGAAGTTGCTGAACAAAATATTAGTTTGTGTTCATTTCTTGCATTTCCTGGAGATGATAACTGAACAAAGGAAGGTCAGTGAAGCAGAATGGAGAGGTAGCTACGACCGTGCGCCTACGCCGTATCCGCACGCTACGACGTAGCGAAGTTACATCGTGTCTTTACGTTACTGTAGAATGCAGGTAGTAATAAAACCGGCAAAGTAATTGCATTAGGAGCTGAAAGCCGTACTTACTACCCACAGCTTCAGCATAAAAATCACTTCAAAGTGGAATTTTTTGAAATCTTACAATTTGTCTGGTTTGTGTGACCTATGACATTACGAGAACGGGTTAGAGAATGTTTGGCACGTAGGAGCACGCATGCGCGGAAGATCGCTCCTTTTCCGTCCTGCGAAGTTCGCGAGCAGTAGTGTGCGGGCCACCAGGGGGAGCCTGTGTCGTCGCGCTCTCTGACGCGCGCGAGTACGTTGTTGACTATAAACTGTGACGCGGCGACGGCAAGCGGGAGAGAACAGGTGGTGGCAAGTGTTATGTCTAACACATCAGCTATGTGACAATGGGGTGGCAAAGTTCAGTGATGTGGCTCAGGCGGTGGCAGTTGATTGTTTTAGGAATTTCAATGCTACTTCATCGCACGGACTCTGTTGGTGAGTTAAATTTAATTAACTTTAAATATGTCAACATTCTACGTAACAAATTGTAACTAGAATTCACAGTACTAATGTTTTTACAGGTTAGAAAATGTGAACACATTTGTCAATTCTATACTTGAATATCCTTTTTTTATAAATTTATTAATGTGGATTTCCTTCAATGACTAATAATTTGTAATCGCTGTCAGATGTCACAAACGAATGTAAGACAACTTTGCAAAATTAAATTGCAAGTATACATAGAATAGAATATAAAATATAAATTTGAAATAACAAAGCTTACTATCATATCAATGTGTTATGTTGATGTTGCATTATGCAATACATAGTCGTAACAATGTAATGTGCATTTCAGAGAATAGATTTAATTCCTTAGATCTAATTATATATAATTTAATATACCATTAATATTTTCTACTACATTACATGGACATGAGACGTAACAAATTAATAAGTATATCGTTTTGACCTCGTTACAAGAATACCGGAAGTCCAATTATATCCTGTAGACTTTACATCCGGTATAAATCGAATTACGACGTATCTGTGCGCCCCGCGCTAGCTTGATAAATGACAGTGCGTACATCAAATGAATTCTAAAGATGTATACACACCAAATGCATTATAGTTGGTGGTAGCCCAACATGTGTAAAGGAGTTTATATTTTTTTGTTCTCGTCATTCGGACATTACACCTTGTATGAACAAGCCGTAACAACTTAACAATTGCGATTACGGCCTGACTTGGTGTATACACAGCCTTAGATTTCCTATGAATTTTACGTGATGTACGCAATATCATTTATCAAAAGTGCTGCCATTGAAAATCTCCAGCGATTCTTGAATAATGAATATTCCATTTCGCTCCGGAGCGAGTCTACTTTAGCTGGATTTAATCAAAGGAGAAATAAGATTAGGCGCAGCAGTTTTCCACAAAGCTTTCTTTGTACAACAGAAAAGTACTTTTAATCAAGGGATTATAAGAGTATTTTCGATATAAGTAAATTCCTACTATAGATTTTTGTGTTTTAAACGACAACTGGGTTGAATTATTTTCGGCACAGAAAATCAAAGAACCATTTTTTTTGATCAAATTAAAAAAGTAAAAATGAGCAAGTAAGTAGGGGCGCAGCACAAATCTAAAGCAAATTTTGTCGATGACATTAAAAACATTCATATCAATATTCGTGATAAGTCTTATCATTTAAGCATTTTAGCAATTATAAAAAACTGAATATTTACAATATAAAATTATCCGTTTCTAATATAAGCTAAGTAATTGAAGTTTCACCACAGAGTGTCTCTTCTCTAAAAGCCAATTTCATATGAATTAAGGAATCGCCAAAGTGAGCCATAGCGGCGGTCACTCCGCAAGGCGGCACCCGGCAGCCAGTAGTCGATAGACGATATTGGATCTTCGCCGTTTCGTTCGACGAAGCTCAAATTAATTGGCCTTCGTATTTACGATCCCAAATTGTTTTCAGTTATGACTTAACTTTGATTTTATGATCGGACTTCGATACTGAAAGTTTCAGCTTCTGTCAAACTCTCGCCGAATCGGTTGTTATTAACTGATTGCTTACCATGTGGATCCTCTTTTGTAAAAACTTATTTGTGCTTATATATTTAATTGCATAAATGTAATTAACTATTGAAGTAGATGATCTTACGGGCAATTTTGTTTAAAATTTAACTCTTCCATTTTATTGCAAAATCAAAACTATTACACGGCTAATACATAATTGTGTGTGTTATGTTGTAAATTATTGTTACAACATAAGCATAAAAACGAATATCCCCTTTAAGACTGTAAAGGAACACAGAAATCCTTTGCGGAGTTAAACTGCTTGTTGAGGTGAAGATGCTTTTTGTAGCTTAGCTTTCACTTGAATGTGGTCACGTAAAATGGAATCGTAACCAAAGCTTAGATAAACCAAATGTTGCTTATCAAAGCAAACAACCAGTACCATGTGCGGTAGTAAAATGACAGGAATTCTCTTTGCCAAGTAAAACTTTGTTGGGCAAACTCGATTCGGCCCTTCAAATGAGATGCCCCTGCGTGTGCTTCAAACACAAAATAACCCGTTTCAAGCAATAGTATGCGGTCGGCTTGAATAGAATTAGGATTAAGACCCGGACCCGAATACAGTCGTTTGTATAAAAGAAATTGGGCACGATCCGAGCCCCGACGGCCAAACGAGACAATATCGCCTCGGCGGAGGGTCGCCGTCGCCGTCGCCGATGTAATCACCGAGTCGCGTGACCGAAAAACTTATTGAATACGACAATACACGTAATTGTATTGTCCTTTCTTCTCGGAAAAGGTCCACCAGATTTGAACCTTGTATTTGCTCCAAAGATCTATTGGTCGAACGCGCTCGTTTATTTATTGAAAATCTCTACATTGCTTCAATTCGGATGTTAACATTATCGTGAAACTAATAAATTTGTCATAACTACGGATCAAAGGGCATGTTTGAGCTAGCTGAAACAAGATTTTAATCGCCTTTATTGGGATAAAAGTATTTCAAATTGAAAAAGTTATAAGAAATATATTGATTTTTTATCTTGTTTGGAATCCTTCAATTAAGAAGTAATCGTTTCCTGTAAAATTTATTTTTGAAGCACTTTATTGATAAAAGTGGGAATACTCCGCGTGAAGGCGTCGTAAAAGAAAATGATTACTCACTAAATCCTCAGGGAAATTATAAGTAATACTTCAAGTGAGCGATGAATCATTTTGTACTCGGCATCATAATGTTGTGAATAGATTCGTATGTATATCGTTTTTTAATGTAATGGGTCCACCTAAAATACATAGTTTACTTTCGAAGGGAATTCGTGTTCAATGGTTCAGTTGGACGGACATTATGTGTGACGTCACGACGCGTTTTCTCACAACACGTGCCTCGAATGCTGAACATGTACTTTGTTTTTATGATCTTTGAAAAATTCTATCTTTTATGCTCGAAGAATTCAACAAATATAATATGTATTCTAAAAGCGTGAAATGTACGAAGATATGATTTGTAACACTTAAATATAGAAAGAAAAGGTTATCTTTTGTCATTTATTATAAGATTTATGTTCTTTAGAACGCAGCTTCGTTAGTATATATTTCAAACGTGATGCAGCATGTTTAGTAAGAGAGACTTTCTGTTCCATTATACTATGGCGTAATGGCGCTATGGCGCCCGCATGCGTTTCGCTAATCGATAGCGCCCGCATGCGTTAAGCGATATTCCATGCTTTTGTTTACTATTTTACACGTCAACTGTGTTCCCGTAGGACGCTTACTTTACATCGACTGATCTTTTGAATTATTACCTCTGTGTGCGAAAACCGAATTATCCATTAATCAAATTGCTCACGTCTTTAGGTTTGTACGAGTGCTTATTACCTTATACTTTGTTTGAAGGTCAAGTTGCCTCGTTATATGAAATACAACTTTGTAATTAATATTATACGTATCAGTTTATAATGTGACAATAAACATGTGAGATAGGCAGTGGGCTATGAGCAAATTGTGTCTGATATTAATGAGGGTACGTCCGCAAGGCTCGCGGCGAGGGCGCACACCAGAGGGCGCCACTTAATTTATCAGCGCGGGCCGCAAATAGCGAGCTTAGTTTGTTTGGCGGTAAATTGTAACGCAAAGCCGAGGACTTTGTTTGCGGCGTATGCAGATACTGTCTCCACATATTTATGTTTTTAAATGGCAACAACATACGTACAAACAAAATCTTTTAAGTTGTCGTAGAATTTAGTCTTTTCTTTTTTTATAAATCTTTCACGTATTATGCATTTTTTTATCATCAAGTAACATACTAACAGCCGATTACTGAAACGACATTTAAATATGTAACAACATCTTAAATAATAAAGCTACGCTTTAACTACAAATTTTATTTAACTTTTGAAGTCTGTTAAGTTGTAGGTAGCGCATACGAAGAGAACTGTTTAAGGTCCATTTCGGTATTCCGTCGTGTCAAATGAAACTCTTCCAAAGATTCTCGACATGCTTAGTGTAAGACTGGACAAGCCTTACTTCGTGCCAAGTTATGCAATTATGCTTCTGACCGAATATTCCGCTTTCGCCACGAGCTTGTAGTTTCATCTATCGATAAGTCGGACCTTTTTCATTTTTTATTTTGCAGCATCGTTAAACAGTATTGAACGTTTAGCTCTCCATACATTCAACTAACTACCATTCAATAACACCATCGTTTTATATTTTCTTTTTCTCACAACTTTGTTTAAGCTCACTTAAAGCTCTGCTGAATAAAAGCTCGCTCTGCTCGCGGTATTGTTGTACAAGTCCATTATAGTTGTGGAGTGCAGAGAATGGACTTATACCACTATATTGCTTTAAAAACTTTCTTTCAGAAACTCGTCCTAAATACAACTAACTCTGTACAATGCGCTTCGCACAGATTAGTATACAAATTTGTGCATTACATTACATTGAACAAACATAAAACTACAATACATATTGTCGCGACGTCATCTAATTCATTCATCAGAATTCATGTCCGTGAAATAATCGCGCTGTTTCTAGAATGTTCTATCGCAGCGACATCTTGGAAAATGTATGTGATTCGAACAGTTCAGAAAGTACTGGAACAAAATGCCAAAAAAATAACAAAAAGAAGATTTAATTCGAATTCGGGGTAAAAAAGGAGAGTCAGATCCGAGCCCACTTTTTTTCTTATGAAGGAAAGTGAACTGAGTAGAAGTCTTAAGTTAACTGCGAGGAAGAAAAAGTGCAGTGAATATCTAAGTGTTTTTACCCTATCCCAGCGCTCTTAACAATATTAACAATAATTAAAAACATAATGATGTCACCGTGAAAAGGTGTGATGCGTTTAGAAATACGTATGAAAAAATGTATGAAAGTGTTATTTAACCTCAGCAATGAAAGGCGAAAACCTATTCCGGCATTCGAATATTGCTCCAAATACTTTACCGCAGGGCGCTTGGAAATGGCGTAGTGAAAGCGCGCGATTTTCTCACTGAATGTGAGCATTCGTCACATGTCACCGGCAACAGAGGGCGCGCCGCCGCCGACCGCTCATTGGAATCACTTATAGATGTTTGCACAACCTATATTACTTGCTGTGACTTATTTAATAAATGTCTCAGAAAATAAATAAGAAAATTTTTTTTTTCATTAATTTTTTCGATTAAATCCATGAATAGTCAATTGAACATATGTAATTTCATTTTCGTAAGGCCAACATATTTTATTTTTCGTATTTTTAATTATATTTCATTTCACATATTTCAACGACCGCAATGTAATGTTACTTTCATTCTTTCAATGGCTCACAAAAGTAAACGAAGATAATACGCGCAGCAAGTAAGTTAATACTTTAATATATCAAAGCAATTTTCAGATCTTTTTCAGGTAAATGATGCGGAATAACAAAGTACGGCGGCGAGGCGCCCCGCGGGCCCTCGCCCGCACCCCGCGCTGCCGCGGCGTGTGCTTATCAACGTTTCTGTTTCAATACATTTAATGCAAATTTATAAAGTTATACATTCATTGAAAACATAATATCTAGAGGGGGCAATTTCATTACTCGATATCTCGGTCTTAAGAGTCACCGCATACGAGATAACGACTAATAAAAACAGCTTTAGTACACGGAGGCCGTAGCATGCGTGAATACGAAATCACTTTGTGTTAAATCAATTTAAAGAATTAGCAATGCGACAACTTATCTCATTTATAATTTTGATGAGTGTGATGACTGAGAGTTTAGAATTCTCAGCGCAAAGATTTGTTCTTACATTGTATTGTATGTTATTGTTGCAGACGCCAACCTGCCGAGCTTCATGGGTCAGGGCAGCAACGTTACCGTGGCCGTCGGTCGGGACGCCTCTGTCACCTGCAAGGTCCGCAACCTGCAGATATACAAGGTAAACCGGTAAAGATTAATTGTAGTTATATATTGTTTGGCTGTTCTGTTGTTTTCTCTATTGCATTAGAACAAAATATAAAACATACTCTGTCCCTACTCATACTCTACTCTAATGGAAGACTCGATAAACACATTCTTTCAATTTAAAAATTAAAAAAGAATGCATTTAAGTAACTTAAGATCAAACGTTTATCATGATGTTAATTCCTGAGTACTACGTGTCTGTAGGTCGCAGTTGTGTCACTATAATTTGCCTCATACACATTGCCTTCCGCCGCCAGCTCTACTCAATGGCTACGTACTGTTGTAATTAACAGTTTTAACGAAGCCGTTATCGCGACTTCATTCAGTTTGCTCGCGACCTATCTCTCTGTGTGAATAGAAATTGGAATGCTTTGTTTTTATCACGACCATTGATCAAAATTCACACAACACTAGAATGCTATGAAACTAGGTTAGGAGTAATTTACTGTCAACAGCCTGTAAAGAATGTAAAAAGACTGTTTTTTTTTAACTAACGCTACCAAATAGTGTTGGCACAAATTTTTTTACAAACTGGCAAATCAGCTCAGCGTCACGCATAGTATCGTGCGGATCTCGGTAAATGGATTGTATACGCGCCTCCACCAATTGCTGTCTAAGCCTGTCACGCAAAATCCCATAATGTTTTGTTGCACTTTAAAACAATCTGAATACGCATTTAAAAAAAATACGGATTTTACAACAGTGAAATAAAATGTCAGTCAGAATGATTTTTAAAATAATACAAAGATAACGAGAGTTTTAATTAATCCGAGCCGGGAAGCTGACGTTGATTATAGGAAACCAAACAACAAACGTCTTGAGTGAACGAGCACTGTTTGAGGAAAATAAGTCGGCATACCTTTCATTACAGGCTCTGACAATTGGTGTAATTATTTTTTTCTATTCATCCTAGCTTTCCCCGCGATTCCGTCCGCGTGGAATTAAAAAAAAACAAAAGCAAGCAGGCTATGTTCTACTTCTACCCCAAATTTCATCGAGATCCGTACAGCAGTTTAGGCTACAAACTCAAACAAAAATCCATCCATTTATCTAAAATTCGCATTTATGATTGTTGATTTGAGATTTTGTTGTCGACAAATATGCTTTTAGATGATTTTACTAAATTACATTTCATAAAAATGACTGCTGTCGTATGTAGGTAGCGTGGTTGCGCGTGGACACGCAGACGATCCTATCAATCGGCAGCCACGTGATCACGAAGAACCCCCGCGTGGGCGTGACGCAGGGCGAGGGCGCGTGGACGCTGACGCTGCGCGACGTTGCACTCGCGGACGGCGGCCGCTACATGTGCCAACTCAACACACAGCCAATGATGAGCCAAGTTCACCGTCTGCAGGTCGTAGGTTCGCACTAACAACCTTTCACTTACATATTTTACTTAGTTCTTTTTAGTATTCACGTCGAAGACATTGGGGCCATGGTGATTAATATTGATAACATTGTCTTAATCGAAATATCAGGGTCTAACATCTGTTAAATGAGCATCTGGTCGTTCTTGAATGTGACTATGTAAGTACTGTAGTGCCGCCGGACATCGACGGCGAGGCGAGCAGTGGCGACGTGACGGCGCGGGAGGGCGCCGGCGTCGCGCTGCGCTGCCTCGCGTCCGGCAGCCCCGCGCCCGCCCTCACCTGGCGCAGAGAGGACGCCGCGCACTTCACATTGGACGGCAAAGTTATGGGTTCGTTCATTCTTAAGTATCTCTTTTAACTACTCATATTTCCTTTCTATTTTCGAATTTTACGTGTTTCTGTGGTTTTTGCCTTCTTTCAACTGTGTTGAAATAGTTAGATTGTATAATTCTAGAGTTTTTTCTGCGTTTTATAATAAAGGCAAGTTAAAGTTTTGGATGACAAATAACGTTTCAAAAGTTAAATAATCAGTTATCCTCAGCGGGACAAGAAGTTGTGCTAACAATAACCGCATTCAATTAGTTGAGCAACAAAACAACAGCGCTCGGCTAAACAAAAGGAAATCTCGAGCTTCTGTAAATTAAAAATAAATTCAACTAATTTGCATTTATCGCTACCGCTCCGCTTTGCGGTTTACTTTATAAAGTAAAAAGTGAATATTCTTTTATAATTTCTAACGTGTATGAGATAATCATACACAATCAATTATTTGTATTAATCTAGCGCACTGCGCATCAACATCTTACATCAGCAGCTGGTAAAAACGATAAACAATTAAACATAATCTGTCCAGTTTCCAAATGGACCGGTGAATGGTTGAACATAAGTGCGGTGCAGCGAGAGACGTCGGGAGCGTACTTATGTATAGCCTCCAACGGAGTCCCGCCATCCGTCAGCAAGAGAATACAAGTCAATGTCATGTGTAAGTTCGGCTTTAAACTAAAAGGCGTAGTGCAGTTGATAATTAACTTTCTTTTTATTAAAACAACAATGTGTGTGCGCAGTCGCGCCGCGTGTGTGGGCGCAGGTGGTGGCGGCGCGCGCGGCGGCGGGCAGCTCGCCCACGCTGCAGTGCCGCGCCCACGCTCACCCGCCGCCGCAGACATACTGGACACTCAATGGAGAACAGCGGCTCTCCAACGGTTAGTTCACAAAATTAATTCAATAAAGGGAGTGATGACTCAGTGTGGAAGGGTACATCGGTAGAGGTAGACCTAGAAAGAGATGGATGGATTGTGTAAAAGGTGACATGATCAAAAAGGGAGTGATGACTGAGATGACGTATGATAGAGTTATGTGGAGGACAAAAACCTGTTGCGCCGACCCTACGGGAGTAGGATAAGGAGATGATGATGATGATGGAGTGATGACTCAGATGACGTATGATACTTATGTTGAGGACAAAAACCTGTCGCGCCGACCCTTCGAGAGTAAGATAAGGAGGAAGATGATGAAACTAGATGTTTCTTCTTTATCTTTGTATAGCTATGAGTTTGAAAGGAGCCGTAATTTAAGTGTGAAAATAAAAAATAAGTAACCTTAATTTGGCTACTTTTTTATTATAATTATGTTATTTTAATACCTACGTAGGTTCTCGAAATAATATATTTCACTATAGAACTTTAATTGTACTCTTAAGAATATCTTCATTTTTCATTTGAACGCTATTTAATCGAGCAGCTTTTTGGCTACTATCCAAAGAATTTACTTTAAAGACTAGTTCTGCGAAACGTTTGATAGACGACACGTGCGACCCGGGCGTGAGGGTCGAAGAGCTATTTGATTTCTTATTATTGTACTTGCTACAAGTGTTGTACTCGAATATAATGTGTCTATGGAATTACTTTTTACCACTCGTTGGCTTTGAACGCTAGCAATAAAATGTGACAAACTATAGTAGTTAATAAGGATCACAAAGACATACAGTAAACCAGAGACAATAAAATCATAATATTTAGCCTTTTCGTGCCTCAGCTGACCACATTTTTATACTTAGATTTTTTTACAACGATTTTAAGCATATATTATTTTTAGGGTCAAAATATACTATGACGACTGCAGTGAAGGACTATACGTACACGTTGTCGCTGAGGATCGAGGCGATGACGCGCGCAGACGCCGGCGCCTACCGCTGCCACGCAGACAACGCCCTCGACGGGGCCCACGCAGACCTCTTTCTGCACAGTCAGTCCCTAGCGAGATGCATAGTACACCACATATTCAATAATAAAATAGTTAAAAAATGCACGTGCAACTTGTAAACTACGATTCCAATGATTTCACAATCATCAAAATCTAATCTTTGTAATTACAAAAACCTCAAGTGAAGATTTTTGAAGTGAATTATCATCACATATTTGGAACCAAATGTAACGACTAATCTGAATACTTTTTATTGTTTAGTGGAGACCACTACCTCTACAACTACCACCACGACCACAACTACCACCCCTCCCACCAGCACCACCCCGCCGCCGACCACCGACACGATACCAACATGTAAGTAATGCTCATTTTCATTGTTAATTTTCACAAAACATTTGTTTTAACAGCATAAACTGCAAGGTTTACAGTTACTTGGTCAGTGTGTACATTATTCTATAAGTAGCAGTGTCAGATGCGGCGGCGGGCGTGGCGGGCGAGGGTGGCGAGGGGGGCGGGGAGGGGGAGCTGGAGCAGCTGCACCGCGGCGTGCTGGCGGCGGCGCCGCGCGGCGTGCTCGCACACCACGTGCACAACCTCGGTCAGTCACACGCCTACCTCACCTATTAGTTCAAACCTTCATTATTCATTTATTAATTGTTCACTTTCAGTCAATGGGGGCTTTTTGAAAGAATGTGTTTTTCTATTGTAGAAATGCAGACGACGACCTGACCGGAGGCGGGTGGGCAGGGCGACGCGGCCTGGAGCGACCGCTGGCCGCCGCTGCGGGACCTGGCCGCCTCAACAGCGCCCGCCCGCCCGCGCTGCCCGCACTGCCTGCGCTGTCTGCTCTGTCTGCACAGCCTGCTCGCCGCCGCGCTGCTGGCGTGATGCGGCGTGACGCGACGTGTCGCGGCGCCTGACGCTGCTCGTGAGTGATTCCTGCCCATACCCGGACTAGTACAATTAGGGAACTTTGTATATAAACTGTTTTATATACACGATAATATGAGTGTTTAAGTGTAATTCATAAGTTAGTGGAAAATGATTTTGTAAGGAATGTGACATTGAAAATAAAGCGGAAATCAAGATAAAATGTTTTTTTTTGTTAAACGAGACATTATATTCAATTTCTTAATGTCTATAACTACAATAAATTAATTTATGTTGTTACATAAAAATATCACTATAATAATGTTTTTACCGTTTTTGTATACTTGTCCAGATTACATTAAAACAAACTAGTAAAAATAAAGTGAGATCGTTAAAGTGAAAACAGATAAAGTGAACACAAATATACTTAAGGGTTGTGTAAAATTGTCATTCGTTTTTCTAATTATTATTTAAAAACTTACATTTACTTACTATATTTCATTGTATACGATAAATAAATTTGTTTAAATATGCTATAAAGAGCACCTTGTATACAAATAATTTAAATGTTTTATGTTTTCTTTCATGTACATAATTGATTACATAATAGTGTTTGTTCAACAATGTATAAGTACGATAGTTGGATGCGGCCTAAGTTGGAACCTTGATTTTAAATATTATGATAATAATTGAGTCGGAATATCTAAGACAACGCCATATGGATAATATCAAATGATCATAAACAACTATGAAACGACATGATGTATTGTACAAAATTGTTCTGTTCTAAAAATAAAAATATTAAAAAACAAAGTAGTTTTTTATTCTTCACAAAGGTTGATAAATCTTGTCGATGTTGTGACAAATAATCGACAAGATACATGATGTAGATTGTGGGACGCGTGTGTGTAGAATAGCAGTTTATGTAACAACGTGTGGCAGCCCTGGTTATAGAAATACCACGAGCACATTAAATGCACGTAAATTTTCGTATCTTAGAATTACAACTATTAATTGAATGAACAAGAAGTAAAACATATCACAACAAAACACACAACTCGTAACTTACAGGTAACTATAATTGCAAAATTTTAACCATCGCCGTTGAATATTGGAAGCAGGTAATACTAGTTTGGACAATGAAAATTGATTAAATACAAATACTTGAGAGGATCAAAATCGATTAGTTTATCAGCAGCTAATTAAATTCTTCCTTTGTCCCCTCCCCTGGCGGGGCTTTGTCAGGGTAAGCGCTGTATAACTTAATAAACAGGGCTCAGCCGCCGCTCACCTTAATTAAGGCTGTAATGATACTGAAGTAGCTTGTAGCTATTATGTTAAATATTACCAAATATAATTTTATAACAAAGATCTAGTATTATTTTTTAAAAATAATTAATGAACTCTTTGTGGGTTCCGTCATCAGTATACAAAGGCATCATCACATGGGTAAAATACGAAATAACTTTAACTTCATCTGTCTTTTGTAAGTTCGTGGCACAATGATAATTAAAGCTTCTGTGCACACAAGTTATATGAAATGTTCTTTTTAAAAGCAATTAATATTTTAAACTCGTATAAAGGAGATCCGACGCATGAAGAGCTTTCAGCGATATAAACTGTAAAAGCTTTCGCTTGAAATCTTTTAGCTTTTACGTTTTTTAATACCTAGTTACTTTCCAACCTCTTTGCTGGTTATAAAATTGTAAGATGCAAGACTAGTGGCTTGTGCCGTTAGATGTTATCGAGGTAATGCTAAGATAAATCATCGAGTTAAAGATGACGTTGACGTTTTGGGTAAAAATTCTTTTAGACTTATTATTATGACCAAGATGCGCAAACTTACATTAGTGGAAGATGAACGATTTAAAATGTTGCTATACTGTTATTGTGTGAGGTCTATGGGCATGTAAAACTATCAGGATAATTACTGTTGTCGACTTTTTACAGACGTAACATTATAATTTAATAATACTTGTAAAAGAAGTATGGTAACAATAACTGTGATCTCATTATCGCGGGATTTCTCATTGCATCGTGTCCTCCAACGCCAGGTTCTTTATTAAGATCGACAAGTTTTTGACTCAGCGACCTCGAGTCGCGGGAGATTAATGAGTTAAGAAAGTGAGTGGGTTTGTTCGATGCCTTTGCGGCTTTCCTTTGATCATGGTTAATTCGAACAAGACGCAGGCGCTAACCGTGACGAGTGCTGACTATCAATTCATAATTGTTTTATATTTCTTTTTCAATGTAAGTATAACTATGCTTTTGTACTACTCGTAACTACTCGTACTAGTACTACTCGTATATGAACGTAAAATATAACTACCACGATGAAAATTAATGGTACGAGGACGAGAATAAGTTACTTTAACTTATCCTCCTCCTCGTGGTTACTAATTTTACAATACGGAGTCGTTATTTTTAACAAAATTTATTTTCTATTTACAGAACATTTTTATTTAGGCATTAACATTATCACGAACTTCCTACAACAGCAGTGTGAGCTAGAAAATATCTTTGTTGAAACATTGAAAATGTTTTTTACGAATTTCCTAATAGCGCTCTCAGTTACAAGAAAAAATACAAATATTTTTGGAATATCCCATGAACAAAGTGAGATTTAAACTGAAAATATGGTGCATCTAAACATAAAGCATATTGTAAAAAAGTACGGTGATACGGTTCTAGAACAAACATTTTGATATGACAGGATTATTTGTTTGTCGATGTAGGCTGTGTTCATTCAGGTCCTGACTGCATCCCGCGCGGTCGTGACATGTGACGAATGATCATATTTAGAAGAAATATCGCCCAGCTTCGTGTACACCATTTCACAGGATGCCTGAACTGAAGGATGATTTAACACAAATACGTCGTTCATTTTCTAAAAGATCCTGTTTGTTATTTAATCTCAACATTGAGTTAGGAAAGCAAAGGATTAAAGGCGTCATATTAAGTAATGCTTTGGTGCTACCTAGCTCTAAATAGCTAAGTAATTTTTTTTTACTTGCGACCAATAAACAAAACTGTTTACTTAATTCCAGTAACATACAAATTCTCTAATAAAGTGCAAAGATCTAAAAAATAGGCAAGACACGTCGCAGGCCATTAAGAGAAATTGGATGCGGCGAGTCTGCGACGAAGTCGGCTGTCGCGATAGCGATCGTTGTATTAAATCCTGGAACACACACACACACACACCGAAGGTATAAGAACTTAACGTGTTTATAAAGAAATAACCTACTTTAAGTTAATCAAAATTTAATCATAGTTACCTTTCTCTTTACCCTTTCTACTTCATATAAAATAATTTTTGACACGGGTCCTTCATTCAATATACTTTAGGATACATTTCAGTAAATGTATATTTTTCCTATGTTTTTTTTTATTCTAACATTTTTACATTTATTTTATATGTCTGTTTTTTGAATACAGAAATTAGACACAATGTTATCAAAACATGTATCATTCTCGTCATAATAGGATTCCTCTCCCAAATATCAAATGTCCCACCCTAAGCCGCACTTTATATCCTCATTAATTTCAGACTTAATTCATGTACCAATTTACCTCCTCCCTCCCCCTGCCCCTACCCCCGCCCGCGCCCTCTACAGCTATCACTCTTCATTCATTCTCACTGCAACCTCTGTGTTTACTCGTGAACGTAACTAACAAACATCACATAAATCACTTCATAGTATTTCATTGTTATTGTACCTAACCGTTTTTTATTCAAATATTTGAACACTTGGTATTATCAAACAATCTTATAATTTCCAACCACGTTACAGTTACAAATGCAATAATAAATTTACATAATACCGGGAGTATCTCAGTAGCATGGCTGACAGCTCAATAACCGGCTATTCAAGTCGAACGGGGGATCGTTATCAAAGCGGTTATTAATCGACTTATCTGATATCAATCACATTTAATTCCACAACTAATCAATACGTAGTTGACATTTCATTATGAAGGGATCTATTCCACAGATATATGTAAGGAAAATACAAAACTGCAACTCTAAAAATAGAACACATGATAATGACCTAAATAGATAAATAAAATAACTATTAATTTATAAACCATTATTTCGAAGAGACCTGGGAAAGAACGTGATAATCATATATTCATATGTCAAAATAAATATGTTAGATTCGTAATCTTCTCTATTGGTAGTATTCTAACGAGGGCAACATTGCGCAGGTTACCAAGTAGAGTTGTCTCACGCTAACATACCACGTCGTTACCTTGAAGGGTACTTTCAAATGCTAGCAAAGGAGGCCGCTGTACAAGTCCTCCCCAACCTGCTATTGTCTTATTCTCGGTCAAGTTTTTCTGAGAATTGGTCTATATTCATGTCTCTTACTTTGCTTTATATAAAATCTTAGAGCGTTACCACAAAAACTTGGACTTTGTCTCAATACATTTTAGCTTAAACGATTTTTACGGTGACTTTGGGCATAAATAATTAATAACGATTAGATATTTTTTGTGTTTATCTTTAAAATCACAGAAATTATTTTCCCAACTCGTCAATTTTCTTCAGCAACAAATCTACATACCAATGCATATTAGTGTATCTCAAGTCTCAATAACAGTCAAGTCAAGCATTGTAACATACTAGAAGCATGTCGGAATAATAATTAAATGTATTAGTACCGTATACTTAGCGATAGCTACGCCTTATACAGCCACACTGATTGAAATGTCAGAGATAACATAACAAGCGTACTAACTAATGCGATATTCGCTATTGGAAAATCTATACAAACTAGAGAAGGATTATTCCTAACCGTCACCCCGCTCTGTACCCACGTGAGAATAAAATGTTTCATCCGTCCCACTTTTTACACCCACTATCACCAATAAGGTGACAGATGGAACCGTTATGAAATAAAATAAGTTCCATCCGACCCGCGTCGCAAAAGGTGGGACGGATGAAACTTTTTATTCTCATCTGATCCCGCATGGGAAGAGAGTGAGGTGACGGTTGCTAAGCTAAGACATAAAACACAAAAAATACTATCAAAGTCACAATGTATTT